CATCCAGGGAAATAAAAGACATTTCAGCATCAGAAAGAGCTCTCTGTTCCAACAAAGTACGTAAACTTGTTTCCATGAGCTCTGTTACAAACAATGGATTCCCTTCGTCATTTGTAGCTCCGATGAACTGCAGCAAGCAAGGGTGGCGGCATCTTGATGCAATATCCATTTCTCGCTCAAATAAATTGCGGCTGTGAGGAGAGAGAATCAACTCATGGATCTGTTTAACTGCAACAGAACAACCACAATATTTGCCTTCGACAACACTTCCCCAGCCTCCTCTGCCGAGAAATCTACCTGTTAGCTGAATATGGTCCCGTGAAATGACCCAGTCAGGGGAATCTTGGCGTTGATAATCACGTAGCTCATCCTGAGCTATGGACAGAGTTATTTCCAATTCATCAATTTCCTGGTCTTTTTCCTCCAGTTGTTGCCTTAACGCAGTAGCTTCATTCTGTAAGTTAGCAGTTTCTTCATCTTTTTCTTCTAACTGCCCTCGGATAATCGTCATTTGCTGGGTTACATCTCTCAGTTGATCATGTCTCTCTTGCATATGCCCCCACAGGTTTATCAGCTGCTGATTCATCTTAGCCAAATGTATCTCGGTCTCTCTCAACCCTTTCTCTTGCACTTCTGCTAGCATATGTGTCACCTGCTCCTTCAGTTCTCTCACCAGCCTGAGGCCATTTCCTTCTTGCTCCTCTTTCTCTGTCTGTCGCTGGCCTGTTCATAAGATGAGAAACCTAAAACTTATTGTAAACTTTAGACACTGTGCCAGGCCGGAAGTGGAAAACATATTTTTGTTCACTAGATGAATTCTTGTGAGCCCATGATCGGAACATGTCTTGAAAATGTTACAGTCATCGAAAGTGCTTGAAGAACCTCAGCCAAGCTGCGACGCTTGCTACAACTCGACAAAGGTACTCTTGAATTTTGATGTTTCTCGTTTAGTTGACCAAACACGCAAATTATGTATTTTTTTGGTCTTCTATAAAATATTCCAATTTCATTTAGAATGTTACAACATTTGAAGTTTAAAAAAATCTCTAAAATAAAACTATGGAGCAAGATGTCGTGCACAAAGACCGAGGCAGAAGTGGAGGATAGGGATCACTTGAGTTCATCCTTTTCCTTCACTTGTAGCATATTTCCCATCCAGCGAATGACACCATATGTTTGAATACCATTCAACAACGAACCTCTACCATAGATCCAACTACAAGAGCATAAAAATTGCTACCTGTCATTTTATCATTCTTCCCGTCTAAAAGTAAATTAAGCTTAGCAGTTATTCATCGTCACTCGTCGTTTGAGTGAGTAAACTCAGTGGTACTTACAGTAACATCTAACTGGATTTGTATCTTCGTGTACTTAGACCGCTCTTAATAGCCACAGAATGTTCTTGGTCATGTCACTTTTAAATTTCACGTGCACTCGAAATTTGTCGATTGAAAATCGTTAAAAAAAGGATGGGAAAAATGTCACCCCTTCAAAAGAGCGCACTCAAATGCCTTTCACTACTTTTCGAAGTTTTCAAGTGAAACAAATTGGACTCACACAAGCCCTTCAGAGCCCGCTGAGGGGTGATGTTGGACTGAACACGAATGACCTTGAACTTTAAACACACCTTTTTTAAAGAGCACCTAAGTGTTTAGAAACCTTTGTGGTACATGTCACGTAAAGGATTATGATTGATTAGATTGATAAGATGGACAAAAAATGTGAGTGATGAATATTGTCATGGCGATGGTAACTAATCGTAACTAATCACGGACAATCTTGCACAAGAGCAAGAAGAAGTACCAAGTCAGTGTTCTTGAACCGAGGAAGATCAAATGTATCTAAAATGTATTTTGAATTTACATGCACAGGTGACGAGAGAAATAATAGGTAATTTATTTACCATGTAATGATCCGGCCGCCTCTGTCATGATATTAGTCGCAGCTCCCATACATTCCCTCAAGGTTTTAATGATAACCTCGGCCTGAAGAGCAAAAACATCACGCAATATATCAAAAGCTCGCAACTCATAGAGATATATAGAGTCTTAAAGTTGTAATCTGTATAATAAATGAAGAGTGTTTGTCTGAAGACAAGAATTTCACCTCTAGGCAAGGGGTAAAACTGCACGAAAAAAAAATAGGCTTGAAACTTCATTTTAAAAAATGGCCAATAAGTTTATAATATTTTACCCTTGTAATCATCCTCAATCATCAAAGAGAAATGTGTAACTAAGAAATATATCTGTCTGATTTGGATATTACATGGAGCACCCTTCCTTCGATAGAACTTTAACAAAGGAAGATGACTTTTTGGGTCTCAAATTTAATGACGTCACAAAAAATTATCTTTACGTCTGAAGTTACAGTGTCTGTACGTATTCTGGTCGGTCCACAGCCTTTTTTTCTCGCGAAAGTTATTCTCAACCTGAGTACCGAAAAAAGGGGTTGCTAGTTACCAGTTACCGCGCCAAGGGACGTCCTCGGGATCAAATCGAACTTTTTCACGGGTGGTTGTCCGTCAAACATATATCTATTCTACGAATAGACTCTTAGACTCTATTCTAAGACTATACAAGCTACCCTCTGCAATCCTTGGAACAATTCGATTTGCTTTGACAACCTGAACTCTCTTTACCTGAGCTCTCAATAACTGGGCAACCTTCATTGGTTCTGATGTAAAAAAGCCTACGAGTTCCAGAGGCTGGACTCGCCAATCGTTGTTCTTTAAAGAAGGCAAGATTCCTAGTCTAAACTAGTTCATAAATAAAGAGGCTATGTTAATTCCTAATAATTCAGCTAAATTAGCGCAAGGCTTCTTTGGTTCCACTTACTTCCTGGGACTTTAAAGCATAAAGCTCATAAATATTTGCGTAAATATGGTGACGGGACACAAAGCCAAAAACTGTTTTGTCATCTGGATCTTGAGCAATGAATAGTATTTCCCTGGTGCGATGTATGTACTTTCTAACCTACAAAAATATAACCAAAGAAAAACTTGAAACACACCTAAAAGATGATTTGTAAGATGCCCAAGAGGACACCTCCATAGACAACTTAAATATGATCTTCTGAGCTTTGTGTGCAATAATTTAAGCAAGCAAGTTTGCAGCACAAATTCAGACAAAATTGATAGACTGTAAATAATTGGGATTGGATTTCAGAACTGGTTTAAATTTTCTGGATAAAAACTGTTCAATAGTATGATAAACAAATGCTAAACTCAGTTCTCTTACTCCAGTTTTCTCTTCCTCTATCCGGACATAAGTTCTGCCAATACATAATTCACAATATGTCTCCAAGTCTCCTGCCAAAACACTTCTCGTCTGTGCCTACAAAGATGAAAAAAGTACCTATAAGTAATTATACTAAAACAATTATTCCCTTAAGCTCAGTGAATATTATAAAACAATACTATCTCCATCTTCGGTGAATAATTGTTAAATATTAACAAAGCAGCAAGATGTACAGGGAGCTTAAAGGTAACTTTGAACAAAATGAATCTTGATATGCCTATTGCAATTAACTATTAAAAAATTGGTGTTACCATTCTTTTCTTAAAAGTTACAGGCACATAAATGTAAAATTAGGCATGTCTCTTCCAAGCTGTATTGTTCCTGTTGCATCATCATTAATTACTAGGACAAAATTGATGGACAATGTGTGTGATACCATTTTTTAAGGAATTAGGAGCAAAAAAAAGTGTTTTGGATCCAACATGTCATCATCTGCTAACTGTAAATAATAACATCTTAGGACTGCTTCAAGTACTAAATTTAATACAATTCATGTTACAGTCTAGCCAGTAATTCAATTAGCTTAAAAAATCTGAATGAAATTAACAGTCAAATTGCCCACGAACACACACACACACACTTAAAATTACTTTTCTATTGCCTTCGAAATAGTGTTTATTATTGCGAAGATCCATTAATTGAATAATTTGCGCGATACCATTACATACAAACACTGAGATCTAAATCCCCCAACAACCGTTAGCTAAAGATATAACACTAGATGCAAAACAACATGAAAGTGTAACATTTACATAAATTAAAGCTTTCCTACTGAAGAAATACACAATTCTGTGGTGCCAAAAGGGTTCCAAATGTTGGAAAGCTTCCATAGCGTCTAAATGTGTGTATGTGACGGTAATTTGCATGCTGCCAATCACTTCTGTTTGTACTGCAACGGTCTAAAGTCAACAAAACGTTGTTGAAACTTCAATTATTATCTTATCCTTACATAAAACATCCAAACTAAACTTAAACAGGTCTAAATCTGTAACGAGCTTATTGAAGTGATTTCATGCGTGAGCAAGTTGGCATGAGTGAGTTTGTTCGTGGGCAAGTTGGTCAGATACCAATCAAAGAGCTAATCAGTTTCACATGTCAGGGGTGTATTACCGTATATTTCTTTAAAGCTTCGGCATACATAACATCGTCATCTGATATCCTCATGTCTTCAGCTCCTAGAAACTTTGCGATGAACATATCTAAATTACTCCAATCTTGCATAAATCTTTTTAGAAGAATCTTCAAGTTGATCAGATTACAATTATAATAGGTCCATGATTACCGAACTGCCTAGATGTAGGGAAAAGTGGATATTACCAGAACAGAACATGAGAAAGGTGGAGCAAAAAATTAACAGTGAACGGTGAAATAATAGCAGAGGAGTGAAAATGCCTGGAAATATACTGGGGGAGGGGGAGATGAGGATTTATCAAGATGTGACATAATGGACATTTATCTGGCCAAAACTTGGTGTCCAAACAATAATAGGTTTGACTGAACAACTTGACCAGCACCAGCTGGAAATTATTTTGAGCCTTGCACATGATTTGAGCGCTTTGCCTCTGTGCTTCTTTCATAAGGTGACTCAGCAATTTTCAATGTATGCAATTATTAATAAGTAATCACATGAGTTTTCCTGTGATATTTGGAATAAGTTTATGAAAACTGGTAAATTTTAGACAAAAAAATTGCACTCGCCCTATGGGTTTGTGAAGCTTTTTCGGTCTTTGGAGAAATTCTTTGTACATATTTATACGTCACTCCGATTGGAATCATGTGATTATACCTGCACAAAGTACTTTACTTTATGGTAAGTCAACCACAGTTTAATCATTATAGCAATATCTAACAGATAATAAACCAAATGCTTTAAAACCATGTTATAGAGCGGTTACTTGATTCATGAGGAGAGATACATTAATATTATTAACAATAGCAATAGGATCTAACCTGGCATCTGAATGTCAAGCCTGTTCCGTTGAGTCCCTCTTGAAACAGAGTTGCTTCCATTTCTGTAATCTTAGCAATGGCTGAAAAAAGAGGAAACCTAGGTTTTAAAAAGCAACATAAATGGACAACACAAAGGAGGAACACTTAAACTTTGTGCTGGCAACAAAGCATACCTAGTAATTTTCAACTTTTACCTTGGAATCAATCAGAAAAAACATTTTGGCTTTCTTCTCAAGGATTTTAGTTAATGCAAGAGTCGCAAAGATGAAAGACTCAAGTCAAAGTGAAACAAAACTTGAGTATCATGCTTGTGAAGTTTCCACTCACAACATTGAAACATTAATACCCAGCGACTGATCATCCAACCCCGCTAACTTGAACCACTGGAGAAATGGAAAATGGTTCGAGTTAGCAGGGATTTAATTTTTCTGTTGGCCTGTTCCGATTTTGCTCGGCAAATTTTTGCAGTTCTAGCAACCTAAGGAAATGTTTGCCTTTCCGATCTTTTGTGCTCTCCAAACTACTTGCTCGCTTCATAACTCGCTGAAAACACAATGACGCAAGAACCAGGTACACGATACACACAAACATACATAAACTTTATTTAAACACGAATGTGAATGTTAAATATAATAAAATACTACGAAAATACAAATTATAATAAGAATATAAGATTTACATGCCCGTCAAATACATTCATAAAATATAAAATACTATAAAATAGGATATAATTGACAATAGATATAAAAATACATGCTTGTGATATCAAATGTTGAAATTGACAAAACTAAGAATTTTCCTTTTAAAGCGGAGCTCGCAGAGCGTAGCCCCATAATTATACAAAATTGTAGTAACCCATCAAGCCGAAAAAATTTGGATGTACGGCCGTACGACCGTATGACCGTACAAGGTGCTACTTTTAACATGCGTGGTCAACTGTATCGCGGGCACGCCCATGTCACGGCTTTGTCCAGTAGTCCAGTGGTCAGTGTACTGGGCTCCGAGTCGGACGACCCGGGTTCTAGACCTGGCCGGGGCAAGGCGTTGTGCACTTGAGACGTGCGGGAAAAATAAAATGCGAGCTCCGCTTTTAGGCTTGGCTAAACCTATATATTATTCATTTCAATCCTCGCAAGCTCTCAGGCCATCTCATAGGGAATTCAATATTTTAGCAACTCGGTAATAAAAAGAATGTTGACAATATACTGTTGTTCTCGGCTTAGAAAGTGACAAGATGTGGCGACCACATAGGTTGTAATTTCCAGAACGAGGAGTAAACATGATTCTCATATGATAAATTTATCGATACTTTACACGGTTCGCTATACAATCATGAGAACATTTTCCCATAAACTCCCTCTTTATCGTTTCTATTTAATTTTTTTCTGTGAACTACTGAAAAGGACGTTTTGTT